GAGTTCAAGGGTGGTTGGAGCTAGACAGGGCTTTTACACCTACTTTAAAGAGGGCCTAATTTCATGGTCACCCTCAGGTCAAAGGGATTCCATAATCCTGGAACCACAGATATACAAATGTAAACATTTCCCCTGTTGACCCTGTAACTCCCATGAGGCTCAGCCCCATTTCCTCATTCTTCGGAAGAATGGGATGATCTAGAGAAAGCAGGAAGCTCAGAACATTTTCCAGGATTCAGTCCATTAAGGGCCTTTAGGCAGAAATCGGCTTCATTTACCCCATCCCCACGAGCATCATACTGCTATGTTCTGCACTAGTGCAGGCAATGCCTCTGTCTATTTGGGAGCCTAGTGATCAATGTGCATTTGTGAACATAAAAACCTCCTTCAGAATATGCTGACCATTGATTGCTAGGCTATATGTGCAATTGGAGGCAATGAGTGGTCTAAAATTGACCACGTGACTGCTCTTGTTTTGTACTTCATTAGACACTTAAACTTCCCCATGAAAAGACTTCTCGTGTGTGAGATATTGTGGTTCACTGCCTACAGAAGGTGCTGAAAATAGCTTGAAAATAAAATTAGGGCACATTTTTACCTGTGTACGATTCCCAGTTACTAAAAGGTGTTGTAGGCCCATAACTGCATAAAGATTTGGGTCCCTTAGCCCTTGTAATGGGAATATTGACATGACCTTAATGATAGTGCCGCCACTAAGGGAGGCAGCATGGAGGAAGTGGTCTACGGCAAGCGCCGTCACTGTGTGGTGTGCCCAAATCACATACCTCACAATGCACCACAAGTTCCCCAACTGTAAAATAGCAAGAGGCTGCTTGCTCCCCTTTGTGAAATGCTTCATGAGTGAAAAATGCAGAGTGCAGGCTAAGCGGTGGTGCTTATTTCGCTTGCACTCGCACCTGCCTTGTTCTAGGCACTTTGCAAACAAAAGTTGAACCAGACTCTGCCCCACAGAACGGACGAGCTAAAACACTAAATACAAATGAGTATTTGCTGTGGTGCCACCTAGCCTGAGCGTTTCAGGCGCAGAAGACGTACCTGGAACAGGTCAGAGCATTTCAGATGCTCACTGTGCATTCTTTAAACCTGTTAAACACAACGAAATATTTTTTTATTTACCTGTCTTGTAGAGGGAATAATCAGGGCTGTTGGAGGAAAACCGCTTTGAGATCACTGCAGAGAAGCATTTCCCATTAGCATTTTGATGCTGCTGTCTGGGGATCCAGTAGGAACAGCTGTGCACTAACAGGAATGGTCCCATTTAAAGACTGGGGGCACATTCATGGCTGGAGTAACTCCCAGTGGGGATGAACTGGTCTCAGGGTCTTTGGCAAGTTGCGTAGCAAGGGTCAAACTCTGCCCAAAGTGCACTGCTCTACCAGACTATTGAACGACTGCCTCGCTGGTTACAAACATGTTGTGTGCAGCAGTGCTACGCAGGTAGGAGCAGTGCTACACGGACCGGAACACCTGCGTTGGGTCACCAGCCTTAGCATGCCTCCAAAGTGGTCCTGTAAATTGGCACCATGGGATTCAGGTTTAATGTCTTACATGTTGAGGCCCCAATGCTGCTCTCCATTCCTGTGAGTAGGAGTTACCACAGCCTCCCAATCCCCTGATCTATGGCCAGGGAAACCCTTTCCCTAGACCGTCCCATCCCATAGAAGACCCATCAAAGAGGCTCCAGGTCTGCAGGCTGGGAGGGATTAACTGGTAACAGCCAGCTATGCCCACTACCTGAGATGTGAACATCAGTTTGTGTTCTTCCTGGTTTGGGCATCACCAGGAATGGACAATTCGGCAGTTGTAAAATAGTTACAAATTCTGTTACCAATACATGACCCCGAAACAAATCCAGCTCACTCACCCAGTGCTGTCCTGGCTCTGCAGGACTAACAAGAGTTAAAAATAGTAGACATCTTACTCTCTTCGTCAGAAAAATAAAGTCATGCCGCTGACAAGACACTGGGAGCAGGCCTAGGAAGGTGCCATTTTTGCTTGGATAGTTTTCTGAGCATATGTAGTCTGGAACTGAGTCGTTAATTGTCGTTGTGCTCTTTCAAGAAGCACAGCATCAGGTTTAATTAATCTTCAAAAATCGTTTAATGTTGAGCCTAAGGAAACATTGGTTCTGCTTCTTCAACTGCCTTCTACTTTGCGTGGTCACTTACACCTGCGTAAAGTAAGCACAAAACACTAGCCACTGAGCGAGGTGGCATTTTAAACTCCTTTTATACGGGTATAAATGACCACACAAGGCATGAACCTAGGTAGAAGCAGGCCTATTGTTATTACAGGTTTCACAAATACTAAAATTACATTGCACTTGGAAGGTTGCATTACAAGTTAGTGCAGTAACATTTCCAAAGGACGCGGTGCCCAGGAACTGGCACTTACATTGCAAGTCTCATGAGAATCAACCAGAACGTTCTAGCTGGACTACTCAGGGGTTTTATTTGTGAAGTGGAAGGCATTTTCTGGAGTCTGCCAGAGAAATGAAATGATCAACTCCCTTTTTTCTGGGGCAAAGCCTGGATACACTGCATAAAGAGTTTGGGGGAGACACCTGGAATTCAACACAGAGAAGAGGACAACATAAGCTTGGAGGATACCGATACTTCAGATGTGGACTGTGTAGTTGTGTTTGTTTCTGAGTAACTCCAGGAGCAAAATTTTGATTTGTTACTGAGTTTTAGTGGAGGGGCTATCTGCTATTTATATAATACATGTTTATAATACAGCTGTTAAAGTAAAGAGTAGTTGGACTCTCAGGCCGTCAAGCCTTTGCGGTTGCACTGAAATGGATCAAATGGCGAACGATTGCTACAGCCGACTGTCTGGATAAGCGTTGAACAAGAAGAAGTGGATTATGCCCAAGCAATCTCCTTGGTCACACCCAGGCAACGCCACAAAAGTCAATGGCATTGCTTGCATATGAATAACTTACCTTTGAATCTACTGTTGTAATTTACACTTGTGCTATTCATGCTGCTGTATAACATGAAGAGCATGAAAAAAAAGAAAAATTTCAGCCTGACAGTTTCCAAAGGTAGTAGAAGTAGAAGAGCAAAGCCATTCTGGCATTGGTTCCTTCATCCACCTGAGCTTCCAGCCGAACAGCACCAAATACATTGAGAAACCCTTTGGCGACTATGTTGGACTAGAGATGGCAAAGCTGGGAAGTGACTGAGGTAGGCAATATTATCACCTGGGACAGATCTCCTATTCTGGCACATTCCTCCTCAGGAGATGACATTGCTCTGAGTAACATCAGCTTCTCCTCCTCATGGAGCCCACCCCTGGAAGTGACTGAGCACTGCTGTCAAGGGGGAGGGTGGGACTCAGGGTAGTGGTGCTAGCTCTGCTCTCGGATGTGCCCAGATCCATCGATTTCCCTGGAGACCTCTGAACATCTGCACGATCCAAGGGCTATGCCTCTCCATCCCTCCAAATGGCAGCTGCAAGCCCCTCCCCAGTGTCAGCAGGAGGAATATTGCCCTAAAAACACGCAGTTCACCATGCAAAGTGTTTTTAAATAGGTTTCTCTCTCTCTCTCGTTTGTGGGTTTCTCTAAGGTAGGGGTTAATAGGGCCTGTAATATGTACGGCATATTTGGAAACACTGTCGGCAGTAATCTAAGCCAGTGGCCCTCAACCTTTCCAGACTACTGTACCCCTTTCAGGAGTCTGACTTGCCTTGCGTACCCCCAGGTTTCACCTCAGTTAAAAACTACTTGCTTAGAAAATCAGACATAAAAATACAGAAGTGTCACAGCACACTGTTACTGAAAAATTGCTGACTTTCTCATTTTACCATATAATTATAAAATAAATCAACTGGAATATAAATATTATACTTACATTTCAGTGTGTAGTATATATAGAGCAGTATAAACAAGTCATTGTATGAAATTTTAGTTTGTACTGACTTCGGTAGTGCTTTTTATGTAGCCTGTTGTAAAACTAGGTAAATATCTAGATGAGTTGATGTACCCCCTGGAAGACCTCTGTGTACCCCCAGGGATACGCATACCCCTGGCTGAGAACCACTGATCTAAGCCTGTCCTAGGTTAGCAGGCTGCTAGGCTGAAGGGTGCAGAAGACCCACCCACGTCCATAGCCAATGGAGACAATGTGCCCCTTGAGCAAAACACCAGTCACAGTTCAATATTTCTCTACCATTTTAAGAACCCTGATCCTGCCAAATGCCTCCTGGAAGTTACACACTTTCACAGGAGCTGAGGTGCTCAGCATTAGAGGTGGCTCACAAAAGGGGAATCCATTTCTGAGAAAACATTGGTTTTTTGGGGAAATTTTTTTTTTACCCTAAGCAGGATGAAATGTCAAATGTGAAAGTTTTGGTTTGTTGACTGACCTCAGAGATGGTTGTGTGTGAAGATGACAAAAGACGGCCTAAATACCAAAGAGCCTGGGTACTCAACCTCCCCAGCTCTGGGAGCCAGACAGGCACTGCCCATACCTGGAATTAGGGGGGAGCCCCCAGAAGTTGAGAACTCTGAGCATGAAGGTCCTTACTCTGCATTCTGCAGAGGATCAGATGTAAAGCCACTACTTTGTGGATATCACTTTTCAGCAGCAACTAGAGCTTTGTGTGTGTTATGCTACTTATTACCTTGCGGAGGGATCTCTATAGAGCATCAAAGGACTTTCACAGATGGGGCCCAGTTACATGTGCAACTTGCACTGTTTTCCTGTATTGTTATTTGTGTGTTTTCTGGTCAGGTGAGTCATCCAGGTTGTGATTTGTGGGTTATGTTCTTGTGAAATCTTACGTAATTGTAATTCAATTGTTGTGCAGTTGACAGCTGCGTAATGTTTTTGTTGTATAAGATTTAAAAATGGAAAGCTCTTAAAAAATTATATCCTTGAGTCTAAAATGAGCTTGTTACGTATAAATAGAACCATAGTTTCATAGGAGGCAGCCCCGTGGTGGAAGATTACGGTCTAGTCCAGTTCTTGAAATAGGTTCTAGTTGTTTATTGTAAATTTTTGTGACTTTTCAAGTAGTTCTGCTAGGTGAATATTTTTAAAGATAAAGAAGAGATGACACCACCATTGTACACATGAACTGATGTGGTTTTACTGCATTTGCCCACATAGCTGAACATTCTGGTACCGAGTGCAGCTGCCAGTTTCATCTCTAATACCATTCCTTCTACAAGGAGAGTCTTTACATCTGTTTCAACAGTTTTCTTCCCTTTTCTCGATAACACTTCAATCCTATCTGCTGTTCCTGATCAGAATGCAGTTATTAAAAACACTCAGTTGATGCAAACGGTGGGTTGATACAACATACAGAATGGGGTGTAGATGTGTTTCACACAACAGAGAGCAGAATTAAGGGGGAAATGTTCCTTGGAGGCAAGACGCCTTTCCAATTGATAATGGGGAGGGAAATCAAATACGGTAACTGCTTTTCCTGGAGTATATTGCGACTGATCATTACTAACATCAGTTCATGTTTAAGCAAAGACTTTTCATGATTTAAACTTCTGTTTGCATACAACTCTGAGTAGTGCATCTTAAAGTCATACATATTGATATAGAATGAAGAATGCATAATGTCTGCATAAAAAGATAAGCTGTATGACTATATATGAAGACAACAACTACAATTCTCACAGCACTGTCATTGGTTAATTTTAAAATATTCAAGCATTTATTTTAAAAAAGAGTAAAGCTGAACTTAAACTACACTATGAAAAAATTGTGTAACTGAATCAATGCTGACTCTTATTAATAAATTTTAAACTTTACCTTTTTTCATAACACTTTGTTAATTAATTGTTATTTTAAGTTCCAGTAACATGATCAGATTTCTGCTGCCTCTGGGCAATTGAGTTATGATCTGATCTCAAGTTCAGAGGGAAATGCTCAATTTTATTTTCCCCCAGTTGAATAAACAGTACCATGTATACTATCTCTTGTGTTAGAATAGTGTTGTCTTCACATAAGACTCAAATAATGGTATTAGTCATTCATTTCCTTGTACACATACACCCTATTGCGTGTTGACAGGTTTATAAGGATGCAGTGGCGGCCGTGGGTGCTGGGAAGCTCCTAGACGACAGCCTTTGAATCCTTGCAGTCCTGAGCAATGGTGCCTGAGTTAGTCTGTTTATTGTCTGCTTTCTCTCCCAGATGCTTGACTTGTCTGAAAGATTAATACATTAACAAGAGCGGTAAGGTCCAGGGTTGCACATCTTTAAGACATGTTTATTAGCAGATGGCACATGAGAGTCAAAGGTCACCACGAAAGGTGACATTTTAAAGTGAAACAACAATATTTATGTTCAGATACTATGCTGATGAGATCATGTGGAAAATGTTTCTGATTAAATCAGTTTTATAAATAGGCACAGTATATCTATTGAAAATTCCAAATGCCACTTATATTTATAGTCTATCTCTTACGCTGCTATTTGGTAACTTAACACTACTTTGTTCCTTGAGCTACATTAAAAGTTGGAAAAACGTACTGGTTTTTACAAACAATCCTATTTTCTTTCAAAATAATTAATTTTAAAAAATCCACTATGAAACTTACATCTAGTCTATATTCCTCAAAGCTAAAATTCCAGATCAGTGTTCTTAAGGACTGAAAGAAATTCTGATTTACTTTCAAATTCTTTAGGATAAAATTGACATTCCATACATAAACACTGATTGGCAGAAAGCTACTTAAATGCAATATCATGCACTGCAACCTGTTTGACTAAAGGCAAGATGGTTCGCTAAAATAAAATGTCCAGTTACTCATGTTAGGCTAATTACATGATAGCCATACAATTAAAATGAAAAACTTTGCAAAAGAAGGCTGGCTGCATCATTACTAGTTAGAAAACACTACAACTAGTACTAAAAGTGAAATGCATTTTATGTGAGCAAATTGTCAAATTGTATGTGAATTCTAGAGGAAATGAACTACCATTTTTGCTAAGTTCTAAAAGGGCAATTAAGCTTTTAATTAACATTTTTTCTGTGGCACAGCATACAGGCATTAAAATATAAAAGACTAAATGACACTTACTTTTCAAGTGTTCCATTTTCAACCTTCATAGCCCCTTCCACTGGATCCAGTCCTTGTTCCGAAAACTGTTTCAAGGCACTTAAAGCTGCCTGAATAAAAAATGAGTTGTCAACTACTAGTACTGTAATGATATAATGAAGACAGTCACTAATGACAGTTCTTTTTAAATGTACCTCTTGTATATTGAGGCAAATTAAGTTAGGATGGTAGTAAAGAGTCTATAGTATAATGCCATGATAAAGAGCTGGTTTGTGAGCAAAGAATGATATATTCAACTCTCCATGCATATGAGTAACTTCCATTAAGGATTAATGAAAGTTGTGTTACTAGCATTAAGGAGAGACTATGCCCATTAGAATTCTCACTTCTCTATGACGCCTTCCCAGACTCCCTTAGTGTATTTATGGAGCTGACACTTCCCTTTGGTCCTGAGGAGGGAATCTTAGGTCAGTAATTCTTGCAAGACTCAGACTGTAAGGTCAGAAGGGACCATCATGATCATATAGTCCAGTGGTCTCAGCCCGCGGGCCGCATGTGGCCCAATTAGAACACAGCGGCAGCCCAGCTGTGCGCTAAAAAGAAAATTAAAAATTCGCTGATTGGGCCTGGCAAAGGGTGGGGCCATTTGGAGCACTCTTGGCAGCAGCTGGGGAGGTGAGTGCAGCAGGGCGACAGTGTGCAGGAGAGTGGGTCTCTGGGCAGTGAGGGGGTAGAGGGAGAAGGGCAGCATAGGCCCAGGGACTAGGGGTGTGGAGGGGGGGCTACTGCAGCACCCCCAAGTTTTACTTGGGAGCTCTGCTCCTGGCCCTGCACCACGGGATGTGTCGGGGAGAGCTCTGGGCATAGGGACTTGTGTGTGTGGGGGGGATTAGCAGGGGCGGTCGCTGGGCAAGGGGACGGTGCGGTGCATGGTGCAGATCTGCCCCCGAGGGGAAGGGGCAGGCTGGCAGTGCAAGGCTGGGCAGGCCAGTGTGTCTGGCGCAGTGGTTCTCAGCCTGCAGCCCACAATGGTAAATAGGTTGAGAATAACTGATCTAGTCTGACCTCCTGCACATTGCAGGCCACAGAACCTCACCCACCCACTCCTGTAATAGACCCCATGCCCTCTGGCTGAGTTCCTGGAGTCCTCAAAAATCATGATTTAAAGACTTCAAGTTACAGAGATTCCAAGAGATGTGGGTCGTGTAATGTAATAAAAAGGAGGAACACTGAAGGGGTGGTGGTGGAGGAAGATGCCTACATCCCAATGGCTAGATCTAGAATAGCACTGTGGGTGGCGCTGATATATTTTATACATGGGTCAATGAAAGACACCGAGTAGGTACTTGAGCCTATTCTGGATGATGGGAAGGCAACAGGAATGGAACAATATTACAATTTATAGGACTTAAATTTATTTGTGTAAGTGCATTCTTTATTCCTTTACTTCTGTCTCCTCCCCTACATCTGCTTCAGTTTGCTAGGTAAATCCCTCTTCTCTCTGCTGACTGCTCTGGCAACTGAGAGGAATGCTTTCCCATGATTAATTAGCAGGAATTGATCATGAAATTTTCAGATACTACATATCTCACCCTCAGAACACACCTATTATAACAAACGAGTTGCCACCTGTTTCATCTTAAAGTTGAAATGCAAAGCTAACCTGAAAAACAGATATCATTATCTCAGTGTCCCTAATAATCAAGTTGCATCAGGCATTGAGCATATAAAAAGTTTTAACCATCTTTTTAAAATTCTGTTTCTTTTCTCTGAGACTTTCTCAGAAAGTCCTGGTTCACAGAAGGTATCCAAGAATGTGACATCACAAATATCAGAACTCTCATTGCAATCTATACCTAATGTCATATGCTGGGAAGCCTTCAGTGACCCAAGAAGTGCCAAGAGGATTTCAGAAAAGAAGAAAACAAAATTAATAGGGCTGTCAAGTGATTAAAAAAATTAATCGTGATTAATCATGCAATTTTAAAAAATCACAATTAATCATGCTGTTAAACAATAATAGAATACGATTTATTTAAATAATTGTGGATGTTTTCTACATTTTCTAATATATTGATTTCAATTACAACACAGAATACAAAGTGTATAGTGCTCACTTGATATTTATTTTTGATTACAAGTATTTGCACTGTAAAAAAACAAAAGAAATAATATTTTTCAATTCACCTAAAACAAGTACTGTACTGCAATCTCTTTATCATGAAAGTTGAACTCAAATGTAGAATTATGTAAAAAAATCCAAACCCTGCATTCAAAAATAAAACATTGTAAAATTTTAGAGCCTGCAAGTCCACTCAGTCCTACTTCTTGTTCAGCCAATCGCTCAGACAAACAAGTTTGGTTACATTTGCAGGAGATAATGCTGCCCACTTCTTGTTCACAATGTTACTTGAAAGCGAGAACAGGCATTCTCATGGCACTGTTGTAGCCCGCATTGCAAGATATTTACATGCCAGATGCACTAAAGATTCATATGTCCCTTCATGCTTTAATCACCATTCCAGGGGACATGCATCCATGCTAATGATGGGTTCTGCTCGATAACAATCCAAAGCAGTGCAGACCGACACATGTTCCTTTTCATTATCTGAGCCCTAGTCTACACTACGGGGTTAGGTCGAATTTAGCCGCATTAGGTCAACTGAAAAATGACTGCATTCACACAACCAACCCTGTTCCGTCGACCTAAAGGGCTCTTAAAATCGACTTCTGTACTCCTCCCCGACGAGGGGAGTAGCACTAAACCTAACCTTGCTGGGTCGAATTTGGGGTAGTGTGGACGCAAATCAACAGTACTGGCCTCTGGGAGCTATCCCAGTGTGCTCCATTGTGACTGCTCTGGACAGCACTTTGAACTCCGATGCACTAGCCAGGTACACAGGAAAAGTCCAGGGAACTTTTGAATTTCACTTCCTGTTTGGTCAGCGTGGCGAACTCAGCAGCACAGGTGACCCCCCGTCCCCCCAGAATCATAGAACATAGAATGTTTCTACGCTCCCCCATCATCTCCGTCCCTGAGGTTATCGCAGATTAGAAGGCGAAAAAAACGCACTCGCAATGACTTGTTTTCTGAGCTCATGGAGTCCTCCCACACTGATAGGCCACAGCTTAATGCATGTAGGCATTCAGTGGCAGAGGCCAGGAAAGGGAGGCAGGACGCAATGCTGAGGCTAATGGAGGAGCAAACGGACATGATGAAGCATCTGTTGGAGCTGCAGGAAAGCCAACAAGAGCATAGACCTCTGCTGCATCCACTGTATAACCGCCTCCCCTCCTCCCCATGTTCCATAGCCTCCTCACCCAGATGCCCAAGAACGTGGTTGGGGGGGGAAGCTCCGGGCACCCAGCCACTCCACTCTAGGGGATGGCCCAAGCAACAGAAGGCTGTCATTCAAACAGTTTTATTTTTAGTGTGGCTACAGTAAGCAATGTGGCCTTGTCCTTCCCTCCTCCCCCATCCCACCCAGGCTACCTTGTCCATTATCTCATTTTTTTTAATTAATAAAGAAAGAATGCATGTTTTCAAAACAATAGTTACTTTATTTTGAAGGGGGGAGGGTGGTTGGCTTACAGGGAATTAAAATCAACAAAGGGGGCGGGTTTGCATCAAGGAGAAACACACACAACTGTCACATCGAAGCCTGGCCAGTCATGAAACTGGTTTACAAAGCTTCTCTGATGCGCAGCGCACCTTGTTGTGCTCTTCTAATTGCCCTGGTGTCTGGCGGCTCAAAATTGGATGCCAGGAGATTTGCCTCAACCTCCCACCCCACCATAAACATCTCCCCCTTACCCTCACAGATATTATAGAGCACAGAGCAAGCAGCAGTAACAATAGGAATGTTGGTTGCGCTGAGGTCTGACCAACAGCGCCAGCGTGCTTTTAAACATCCAAAGGCACATTCTACCGCCATTCAGCACTTGCTCAGCTTATAGTTAAATTGCTCCTTACTAATGTCCAGGCTTCACGAGCCACGGGAGCAAGGGGTAGGCTGGGGTAGGTGCGACTGCGTGGTGCTACTGGCTGGGAGAGCAGCCTGAGGCAGAAGCCTCTAGCTTGCAGGAGAGCAGACGTGCAGTGGAAGCGGTGGAGCCGTAAACCATGCCCTGGAGGTTGCTAGGACCCAGGCAGGAAAGATGTTCCCAGAACCCCAGGCCAAGCTATATGTCCGATGAGGATGGCTACCAATCCTACTGCACCATCTGCTGCAGAGTAGCAAGAGAGCAGAGTTGCAGTGGAAGCGGTGGAGCCGTGCACCATGGACAAGGACGGCTAGCAGTCCTACTGCACCGTCTGCTGCGAAGGCATCCAGGAGCTGCTGTTGTGTAGCAATGCCAGCTGCTGCAGGTGCTCCTGTGTCGAATGCTTGGAGGTCCTGGTAGGGCAAGGTACCTCGGCCAAGGCAAAAGAGCAAGAGCCCTGGAGCCGTTACATGTGTCAACCACAGAAGTGCTACGGGGTGTTACAGCACCAACCAGACTGGAATGTACGGCTGCAAGACTTCTTCACCAGCAACGAAGGACACGAATATGATGCACCTAAAATCTAAAAAGGCCTGCACATTTCCCAGAGTCACTACCCTTGATAACAGAACGTCAATGATTGCATTGGCTACTTGGATCACAGCAGCCCCTACAGTAGACTTGCCCACAACAGCAGCGGTGATGGTGAGCTGAGCGGGCTCCATGCTTGCCGTGGTATGGCGTCTGCATGGGTAACCCAGGAAAAAAGGCACAAAACGATTGTCTGTCGTTGCTTTCACGGAGGGAGAGGCGACTGACGACATGTACCCCAAACCACCCACGAAAATGTTTTTGTCTCATCAGGCATTGGGAACTTAACCCAGAATTCCAATGGGTGGTGGAGACTGCGGGAACTGTGGGATAGCTACCCACAGTGCGCCGCTTCGTAAGTCGATGCTAGCCACGGTAGTGAGGACACACTCCGCCGACTTAATGCACTTAGTGTGGACATATGCAATGACTGTATAAAATCGAATTCTAAAAATTGACTTCTATAAAATCGACCTAATTTCATAGCGTAGACATACCCTGAGTCAGATGCCACCAGCAGAAGGTTGATTTGCCT